AAAGCTTTCGCCTCTTTCTAAACCAAAAAGCTTACTCTCAAAAATCAGAAAAGCTTTCAACTCCGTCGCAACCAAAAGCTGCTTTAAGAAAAGAGCTTTCGCCTCTTCTCAACCAAAAGCTTATTCTCAAATCAGAAAAGCTTGCATCTCCATCTCAACCAAAAGCTTTTCCCTTTAAAAGCTTTTCCCTTCTATCTGTTACCTCAACTATAATTTATTTTTAAAAATAGCTTATCTATGCACACACTATGTACCCACAGCGCCTTTTGACTAATTGGGATACAGTCAGCTCGAAGCCATACCGACTGATTTCTCTCATACAGGGGGCGCTGCTGAGCAAGACAGTTAGACCATATAGTATCCTAACTCTCGAATCCCAACCTTTTCGTGCACTCAATCCTGACACATTGATGTGCTCAGATGAAGAGTACAAAAATCTTGATCTCTTCACCATGCGTCAAAGAACCCTAGCACTTAAATCTCACATTTTCACACTCTCTTCTCATCATACCTCAACTCAAGTTTCTATACCCAAGCAGGCGGGGGTAACCTTTCTTCTGGTAACCCCATCTCATACGTCTGTGATTGAAAAACTTCGCGCTACCCTGACTAATCATCCTCAAAGGTACCTTTTTCCATCAACTTCGGCAAAAGGGGGATATCGCCTACACGGCTCATGGCCAAGCGAAACAGTCCGATCGGAACTTTTCCTTGCACGCCAGCTTGACGTAGCTATCTCTACTTTTCCGTTGGGCCAAGCATGGTCCATACTTCAATAGGCACAATGAACTGAACAAGTTCGATGACCTATTCACCTACGATGACTGGACACCAGGAGCCGGATAGTTCAATACCAGATAGTTACCAACAATTGAGTCTTCTGCTGACTACATCTTCTTTCTCCGATTTCAAAAAACCGTTACTACGAACGTTCTTATTCTTATTTCCTGAACAAGGAACGGATAGAGAAGGCTTCACTAGTGACATTCAGAACACTAGAACACTTACCATAAAAAGCACAGATCGATCCCACTTCTATAATCTACTAACGAGTTACGAACCTTTCATAAGGTTTCGTCGACGGCCAAATTACCACCATTACGTTGTTACTCCTGCTAGAGTAATTTTCTAAGAGACTCCATCAAAATTGAGGGGGATGACAGATGACCCGGACGGGTATCTAATCATGAGGCTGAACAAGCCTAAGCCGTCAATCCTCACAATTTTCAAGCGCCTCTACTCCTAGTTCTCAGCCTTAGACTGCGGGTCGACCCTTTCCCCCTGTCTAAACCGGGCCAACTCCTGCCCCAGCCAGCGCAGTTGCCCATCACACAACACTAGGATAGAGCAGCTTTCGGTCCCTCGGACGAGGCGACCATTGCAACACATGCAGCTGAACAAGCTCGTTGCACATCTCAAAACAAATTCCATTACCCACCATCATGGAAAAGGCCGAACAACGCTCTCTTGAGGGGGATGACTGCAGCGATACCTGTGGCTGAACAAGCTCAGCTATCCAACAGCCAACCACTCATCATCCATCCAGCGGATGCAGAAAAGGATCAACCACTTTGTAAAATCTTGTACTCATCAAAATCATGTTTTCTAAAAAAAAAATTATTATGTAACATCGACATCACTCGAACTTCGAACAACCTTTAGTAAATTATAGTAACCAATCGTGACCAATGCCTTCCTAAGGGGGGGATTGATACATGTCACTGATGGGGGTAACGAGAATTCATGAAGAATGCAAAAACTTTGCTACATCTTCATGAATTCTTGTCCTTAGCTGAGTCATTGGTAACGTGTTTTTCTACATTTTTCCAAACATCCTATCGGCGCGCCCCTTTACACTCCACGCTTTCCACTCTTCTCCCTATTCGCTCTCTCCACTTTCGCCTTACGGCCCATCTCTATTCATCCTTGCACCTCCCACTCTCAACGCGACAGGCCCTTTGCTTTCCTCGCGCCACTTCTTTTAACTTTCTGTTCGCCGGATACTTTTCCGAGCCGAATTTTCAATTATTTATTTAAATAAAAGGTTATGTTCGAAGTTTGATGTGTTTTTATATCTTGTAGATCATTTATAGCATAATTTATTATAAATAATTATTGTATCATAATAAATTATTATTAACTAATTATTAATTATAATTGTTATTACAATAATTATAATTTGTTAATTGTTAATGGTGGTTATTATTGTTATAGTGATTTATAATTTATAATGTTATATATATATATGTATATATATATATATATATATATATATATATATATGTGTGTGTGTGTGTGTGTTTAATACGAATAATATTATATTGTTAACTTATAGTAAATATATATTATGTTACACATACATATCTGTATTTGTAACATATTATATTAATAAACTATATTTTAATATAATAATATTATTATCATATATCACACTTATTAAGTAAGATTAGTTATTAATTAGGTTAATTAGGAATGGTTAAGCAGGGATGTGAGAGAATTTCGGGGATAGAGGTGAATCTCGCGAGAAAACGCGCGACTTGGCTCTTGACTCGCGGTTTTCCGCGGGTCAAAAGTAAGAAGTGCATAGACGGAAGATTTGCCCCTCTCTTGGAAAATTCTCCCACTATTTTCGTCGTTTTGGAAGAGTCGTGGGCTATAAAAGCCGATGCACTGGACCAAAACGTCAGTTCTGTTGCAGAGCTCACTCAGGGTTGGTTGCCTTCCCTGCCTAGCCTACCCTATACTACGCAACAGCTTCCTACTTAGAAAAATTTCGAGTTAGTGGACTTAGAAAAATTTCTACTTATTCGTACTTAGAAATTTTTCCGAGTCTTGGACTTTGAATTTTTCTTCGCCTTTCGAACTTAGAAATATTCTACCCTTGTGGGACTTAGAATTATTTCAACAAAGTGTACTTAATGAAAATAAACGATCACTTGTAAATTGACTTATTTCATTCACCCCCCCCCCGGCACTAACTTGAATTTCGATCACCACCATTATTGAGAATAGTTGCTGTTCTCAATAATCGAGGTACTTGCCATAATAGAAGAGTTGCTATTCTATTGTGGGGTGGTGAATCGACTCACGAATATGATACTTAACCTATAAACTACTTTTGGACTGCATAGTTTCCACACTGTCAGTCGCCATTTTTTTTAGAGCTTTGTATCACCACCATTATTGAGACTAGTTGCTGGTAACAATAATTGAGGTGCTCGTCACAACGGAAAAGTTGCTTTTCTCTTGTGAGGTGGTGACTCTCTCTCTCTCTCTCTCTCTCTCTCTTCCAAACTTTAATGAAATTAAAGTTACTCGGCCACTATTTTGCTGTACCTTTGAATGCTCCCCATTGGCTATAAAAGTGAAATAGATTTGGCCTTTGGCCCGGTGGCTCCCTCTACAGTGACCGGTGTCAATATATATAAAGTATACATTTGAGGTAAATTTAAAAAATTAATGAAAGTTAAAAAATTAAAAATTCACATTTTGGCAATAAAATTTTGCTTTCTCCACGAGGAAGCAAATTTTTTTGCTTATCGTAAAGAGGAAGCATGTAATGAACATCTGAATTTACAACTTGTTTATTTTATTTATTATTGACAAAATCACTTAACAGACAGTATTCTTCACCTTTATTGGTAACCATTATCACATTTCATTGCTTTTTAGAGCCCTGTACAGGTTAATTTTCTTTATTTTCACACTTAAAAAGTTGTACGAATTGGACTAATACTATTTCCGAAATCAGAAATCGGTCCTATTCGTCAATTTGCTTTTCTCGAATTCAAGAAACGCCGATCCAGTTCGAAAACCACTATCGTCCAAATCTTTTTTTTAACAGGGAGATGTACAAGTACAGCAAGTGAACATGTAAAAAGAATTACAACAACGTTTCTGTACAAGAACACCCTAATATTGGATAATTTGGATAATTGGATATCCTTTGGATAACCCATGGATATCTGAGGATATCTTCTGGATATCTCTATAGACTTTCATAAATGTCCTCCAGATATCCCATAGATATCGTCAGGATATCCCACAGATATTTTTAGGATATTCTCAGTATATCTTCTGGATGTCAAGAAGATATTCTCAGGATACTGTTTTTAAAGTCATTATGAGACTACAAGTGAGAATATTCTGTGAATTAAATTTTATATAAATAAAATAAAATGCTACTTGTTTTTCGAGAAAGTTGTTTAATTTGAAAAACTATTAACTAATTTTTTTCTCATTCGTGATTCATTCCTTTATTCATATGCTTAATATTGTCAGAAAATAAATTGGCTATAAACAATATAAATTCTTCCCCGCAAATAATGAAAAACTATTAATATTAATTATACATTAAGTGCATGAGTTTATTTAAAAACTTTGAAAAATGCGTTTCAAATCTTCATTTAAAATAAATTAGAAGCTCATAAGATTTTTGTTTTTATTATGTTATTCATTATATTAGACAGACCGGCGGTTTGGATATCCTAGCGATATCCCAAGATATCCTGGGACCATTCTAGGATATCAACCATTGATATGGATATCTTAGGGATATTGTTGAAGGATTATAATTTTAAGCCGAGTTTTATTGCTTAAAAAATTTGTAAATTTAATAACTCAACTTTAAAAAATATATATTGAGATTCGTTAATATTCCCAGGTTATGAATATCTAAAATTTATCAAAAAATAATTACATTTAAAAAAGTTATAATTTATCTCGTATACCTTACGTTTGATAAAAAAATGGACATGTTTGTATGTGTAATTTTTGTTAGTATGCGAACATATATATGTAAGTTAGGTTAGGTTTTGAAAGATTTTTTCTCCAAAAAATTTCCCATTTCCCATTGTGTTTAAGTGCAGAATAGAATAATTTGTTTTTGGTAAGTTCCAATATCTACTAACGAACGTCAGTTGACTGACCCTATTGTACTGCTTAATACAGACTTTACTAATAGTAATTTATAATAAAACTAAGGTTTTTTTTATTTGTAGCTGATTTAGTTTGGAGTCAAGTATTGTTATAACATACAACCAATAAATATTCAACTTGATAAAGAAGACATCAACTGTTTTGAAATATGAAGACAAGATATAATCTTTTACACATACAGTGGTATGTACTTTTTCAACTTCCCTTCCTTCAAGGTAAGTGCTCATAATTTCTTAAATAGTAGACACGATCTAGTATAAAAAAACTTCTACTATATGTTCAAAAGCCAAGTTTAACTCCTAGTGGCTTAGGCCGTTCCCGAAATGAGCATAATTGCATACATTATTTTGCATATTATACTTGCGAAGTATACACTTAACCATCCTTGTTCAATGCATGTCCCGGCTGAAAAAACTTGTACAAGAAAATGTAGAAGTTCTTGTACATGTTCATTAATGAACTTGTACATTTTCTTGTACATGTTCAAGTAATGTTCTTGAACAAGTTCAGCATCCGGAATTGAGACATGTTTTTGTACCAGAACTTGTACAAGATCCTGGACAAGAAAATGTACATGTTCTTGTGCATAATTTTTTGTGCAGGTTTCATGTACATTTTCTTGTACCAGATGTGGAACAAGTTCTTGTACATGTTCATTTATGTCTTTTAAATTAAAAATTAAAAACTTTAAAGGCTGCGCAGTAGTTTTCTGAAGCCTTTACAACTGCCTAATAATTTTTAGCATGCATAAGTGAAGAGTTTTAATAATTATAACTTATTAAAATTTCAAATTTTTTTAAAAAAACATTTTTAAACCAATGTTCTTGTACAAGAACATAAACTTGTTCATGTAAAAGTACTTGTACATGAAACCTGCACAAAAAATATGTAGGGTAAGTCCGGGGGAGTTGGCCATGCGGGAGAGATGGCCAATTCAAATATTTTATAGAATTTGCTGCTAAGTATCGTTTATTAAAGATTAGTTCGCTTTATTTTGTGGCAAAGCACAATTAAAAGAAAAAACTTCACGAAAAATATTGAAAAAATAAGTAAAAAACTGATTTGTTATTTTGACTAGTTCTGATAAAAAGTGATGAGTTTACGTTTCACACTGGTGTTATGTTCTTTTATAGAATAATTTTGAATTTAATTTTTTTATGTAAAGTACATGACCCAAGCTTTGTCATAATTTTATATTTATTCAAAAATTTTATTTATTTATTTAAATTTTAGTTGTGTCAATTTGTCTCCTGACATTAGGAGAGATGGCCATGTTTTTTCGAGGTGAGATGGCAAATGACATTTTACATGACATATATTGCAACAAGACACTCCAAAAAAGATTTTCAAATTTAAATATGATCAAATAAAATAATCCCTATTGTGTAATTAAATCTTAAAAACGTTTATAAACAATCATAACACAGGTCTACAAAATAAGACTTTTTTATATAGATATCAGAGTGGTTTTCAATGTATTTTTATGTGCTGAACACGATCCCGGGTTCCAAAATTGCGTATCACGTCTGGATTTTGAGTAAAGTGGGGGTAAAGTCTCCAAGAACCGTGTTTTTGAGTGTTTTCAGTATTTTTTTTCTTAACCTGACGTGATTGAGACTTTTATATAGGCTTAAATTAAAGCTCATATCTTACACTTTAAGACACATAGGTATGCGCAAGATAAAAAAATTTTGAAATTTTGATTAAATTGGGGAATGACCCCAAAAATCTTTTTAAGTGACTTGAACCTAATTTTTTCAAAATTTCAGTTTTTTTTTATCTTGCGCATACCTATGTGTCTTAAAGTGTAAGATATGAGCTTTAATTTAAGCCTATATAAAAGTCTCAATCACGTCAGGTTAAGAAAAAAAATACTGAAAAGACTCGAAAACACAGTTCTTGGAGACTTTACCCCCACTTTACTCAAAATCCAGACGTGATACGCAATTTTGGAACCCGGAATCGTGTTCAGGACACAAAAATAAGTTGGAAACCAATCTGATATCTCAAAAAAATTCCTTGTAGCCTGGTTGTGTTAGTGAGACAATGATTAGTTCGAAATGTAGTCAGAACAAGAAAAAAAGACTTTAATCCCTTTAAATTAAAAATTTTGATAAAGCGAAAAGCTAAAGATCCTTCCTCCCACAACTGCAAGAGCACTTTTATTTTACCATAATTAATTAACTCCTTCCTCCCACAACTGCATGCCCCAAAAATGCCTTCTTAATGCTCCCTACTTTTTTTCCTTCCTCCTTGAAACAAAACACACTTATTGTCTTAATTAAGAGTAAAAATTGAGCCCTCTGCTTCAACTAAATTCACTGCTTGTCCCAATTAATAGTACAATTCACCCCACCTTCCTAATAAGGACGTTTCTTGTTCAAATTAAAAGTACAAGCACTGCAAGAATCAAGATATATAAACAAAGTTATTCCTTTCCCGTTTTCCAAGTTCAAAACTCAGTGTCACATTCCTTTTTTTCCAACGGTATTGAACATGTTGAAAGACAAAAGAACCCAATTTCCATTGTCCAACGATTTTCCACATGTTAAAAGACAAAGAGAACCTCATTCCCCTTTTTCCAACGTTATTCAACATGTTTAAGAGATTAAACGAACCCCATTTCCCTTTTTCCAATGGTATTCAACGTGAATTAATAGAGAAAAAACACACGCTATTCCCGTTTTCCAATGCTATTTAACCTAAAACAATTTCAAGCGTCTAAAATGATTTTTAAACACTTTTTCTGAATCACCCTGTATGCAATGCAAACTTGCAATTTGGCATTGCAAACTTGCTGCATACATTTGTGCTATATGAGAGTGACAACTGTCGCATTTAGCTTTACTTGACTTTTTGTAGAAGCTGCTTAATGAGTCCTTTACAGGCGTTATAGAGACATCCCTATTATGCAGCCAGTTTTTATTCCGTCTATCTTTTAACATATGTTTAATCAAGATGGCTACCGCAAGTGAGTTATTCTGACCATGATTCCCTATAATTTCTGATCTCAATTGAAAATTTCTGTTTAAGATTTTGAACAGAGATTTTTAATAATAGGGATGGACTTCAAATAGGGCAAAAAGATATCTTGACTGTATCTGAATTTATTGGTTATAGTGCTACAATGTGAAAATTTGTAACAAATAAAATCGTGTGCTATCCCTATTGAAAATTTACACGTGTAATTACACGTGTAAATACGCGTGTATTTACACGTGTTTTTACACGTATCGATTTGGACATGGATATACACGTGGATATACACGTGTATAGGGGCATTATTACTTTCAAAGATATTTTGCCAGACTCTCTACGTGGAGATACACGTGTATTTGGGACTTAATTTTTTAACAGAGATTTCCACTCTTCCTCCACGTGTATATATACATGTGTTTTCATGACATAATTTTTTTTTAAAGATATTTTTCCATATTCTCCACGTGTATTCGGGAATTTATTTTTTAACTTATATTTCGACCATACCTCCACGTGTATATACATGTGTTATCATGACTTAATTTTTTTAGATATTTTTCCATATTCTCCACGTGTACTCGTGACTAAATTTTAATAAAAGATATTTCGACCATATCTCGACGTGTATATACATGTGTTTTCATGACTTAATTTTTTTTAAAGGTATTTTTTCATATTCTCCACGTGCCTGTACACGTGTACTGGGGACTCAATTTTAATAAAAGATATTTCGACTATATCTCCACGTGTATATACATGTGTATTTAGGACTTAATTTTTTAGATATTTTTCCATATTTTCCACGTGTATGTACACGTGTACTGGGGACTCAATTTTAATAAAAGATATTTCGACCATACCTCCACGTGTATATACACGTGTATTTACATGTGTTATCAGGACTTAATTTTTTTAAAAGATATTTTGCCATATTCTCCACGTGTATATACACGTGTACTCGTGACTCAATTTTAATAAAAGATAGTTTGACCATACCTCCACGGGTATATACACGTGGAGAATGTGGAAAAATATCTTTAAAAAATTAAGTCTTGAAAACACATGTATATACACGTGGAGGAAGAGTGGAAATCTCTGTTTAAAATTAGAAAAAAATTACACGTGTAATTTATACTTTGTTATTTTTCAAAAAATTACACGTGTAATTACTTTGTTATTTTTCGAATATGTTTCAAAAAATTACACGTGTAATTTATACTTTGATATTTTTCGAATATTTTTCAAAAAATTACACGTGTAATTTATACTTGAAATTTGAAAATTATTTTCAAAAAAATTACACGTGTAATTTCATGTTGCCTAATCTACACGTGTAATTACACGTGTAATTTATACTTTGATATTTTTCCAATATTTTTCAAAAAATTACACGTGTAATATATACTTTGATATTTTTTAAATATTTTTCAAAAATTACGCGTGTAATATATACTTTGATATTTTTCAAAAATTTACACGTAAAATTTCACGTGTAATTTATACTTTGATATTTTTCGGATATTTTATAAACTGTAACATGTATAATTACATAATGTTTTACCGGTTTTTTTACACTTCGAAACATTTATTCTATTCATTTATGATGCAAACTCCAATAAACAAACGTCAAATCAAATGTTGAAGAGAAAATGATTCACGGTAAGAAAAAAATAATTCACCGTAACGCTCCAATTCGGTTTTTTTGCCAAACCGAATTCAGCTTAAGTTACCATCAAGTCTTTTCGCTTACTCACAATTCTTTTTTTTACTGGGTAAAGAACAATATTTAAATTGCATAAAAAATTATAATTATTTATAAATAATGGGAAATAAAAATATAGAGCGCGTATTAGGATAAAAAACTGTTAAATATGATGTTAGTCACAACTCCCCATTTTCTACATTTTTAAAATAGTCATAGAATAATTAACACATCGAAAGTTTATGAGAATTTTTTTTATTTGTACGTCGAAAGTTATTAATGACAGCTAATTTTTATGTATTAAACATTGTGATCACTTTTAAAAAATTAGTGGAAATGGCCTAAACATAAAGAGCCCAGTAAAAAGAAAAAGATAAAAGAACCGCGGATTCCGGTTACAAGCTCAATATCTGGTAAACGAATCCATGAGAATCTCGGATACCAGCACTTTTCGGTATCTATTTCAAAAGCAATCCAAAATTATTTAATTAAAAGGGAGAAAAAAATTGAAATGAGTACTGTATTATTAAGTTTAATAATAATATTGTGATTATTTTAAATTGATTCTGCAATAAGAAAATAGAAAGAAACCTCGTTAAATTAATATCCAACGTCGGTAAGGTAGAAAAGAATATTTTCCGAATAGCAAGCTAAAATTACCAACATTAATTTTTTTTTTAATGCAGAGGTTAGAATAAGTAAGAATAATTGTTTTTTGTTTAAATGTACGTTTCTTTAATAAATTATCATTTATTTTTGCTTCTAATTTAATTTCCCATCGTTTCTGCATCCATTTAATTGCTTTTTCTTGATTAAAAGACCTACAAAAGTTGTCCGTTTCAGTTAGTTTACAAGCTTATATGAGCATTTCGGATACCGAAAAGTGCTGGTATCCGAGATTCTCATGGATTCGTTTACCAGATATTGAGCTTGTAACCGGAATCCGCGGTTCTTTTATCTTTTTCTTTTTACTGGGCTCTTTATGTTTAGGCCATTTCCACTAATTTTTTAAAAGTGATCACAATGTTTAATACATAAAAATTAGCTGTCATTAATAACTTTCGACGTACAAATAAAAAAAATTCTCATAAACTTTCGATGTGTTAATTATTCTATGACTATTTTAAAAATGTAGAAAATGGGGAGTTGTGACTAACATCATATTTAACAGTTTTTTATCCTAATACGCGCTCTATATTTTTATTTCCCATTATTTATAAATAATTATAATTTTTTATGCAATTTAAATATTGTTCTTTACCCAGTAAAAAAAAGAATTGTGAGTAAGCGAAAAGACTTGATGGTAACTTAAGCTGAATTCGGTTTGGCAAAAAAACCGAATTGGAGCGTTACGGTGAATTATTTTTTTCTTACCGTGAATCATTTTCTCTTCAACATTTGATTTGACGTTTGTTTATTGGAGTTTGCATCATAAATGAATAGAATAAATGTTTCGAAGTGTAAAAAAACCGGTAAAACATTATGTAATTATACATGTTACAGTTTATAAAATATCCGAAAAATATCAAAGTATAAATTACACGTGAAATTTTACGTGTAAATTTTTGAAAAATATCAAAGTATATATTACACGCGTAATTTTTGAAAAATATTTAAAAAATATCAAAGTATATATTACACGTGTAATTTTTTGAAAAATATTGGAAAAATATCAAAGTATAAATTACACGTGTAATTACACGTGTATATACACGTGGAGGTATGGTCGAAATATCTTTTATTAAAATTGAGTCCCCAGTACACGTGTACATACACGTGGAAAATATGGAAAAATATCTAAAAAATTAAGTCCTAAATACACACGTGGAGATATAGTCGAAATATCTTTTATTAAAATTGAGTCCCCAGTACACGTGTACAGGCACGTGGAGAATATGAAAAAATACCTTTAAAAAAAATTAAGTCATGAAAACACATGTATATACACGTCGAGATATGGTCGAAATATCTTTTATTAAAATTTAGTCACGAGTACACGTGGAGAATATGGAAAAATATCTAAAAAAATTAAGTCATGATAACACATGTATATACACGTGGAGATATGGTCGAAATATAAGTTAAAAAACAAATTCCCGAATACACGTGTATATACACGTGGAGAATATGGAAAAATATCTAAAAAATTAAGTCCTAAATACACATGTATATACACGTGGAGATATAGTCGAAATATCTTTTATTAAAATTGAGTCCCCAGTACACGTGTACATACACGTGGAGAATATGAAAAAATACCTTTAAAAAAAATTAATTCATGAAAACACATGTATATGAGAGATTCTTTTTCAATCGCCCCAGCCCAAAAAGTCAATGTTCTGGGATTGGCTTCATACTTTGGTAAATTGTTCTCCTATATGATAGTAATAAATCCCTAAAATATAAACTCTTAAAAAAAATATTTGTAGAAAGTAGAGGGGGTTGAAGTTTTGACGTTAAGGGTAACATTGTCATTTTCAAATCCGTATAACTATGACAAAAGTTTAAGGATTTTAAATTATCAATAATGAATTTTAATGCATTTTTCACGTACTTTTCAAAAATGTATACGAAATTTAAAAAAAAAAATTTTTGACCTCTTTTTTTCAAAATCAACCCTTATTTTTCGATTTTCACCCCTTCGGGAATTTTTTTTTTTTTTTTTTTTATTTTCATTGGAAAGCTGAGGTTTTTTCCGATGAGCTATGTAAATATGAAAATGGGACAACAATAATTTTGTGAGAAACAGAATATTAAAGTAGGCGGTGCCGATAAGGGTGCCGTTAAGGGTAACATTGTCATTTTCAAATCTGTATAACTATGACAAAAGTTAATGGATTTTAATTTATCAATAATGAATTTTAATGCATTTTTCACGTACTTTTCAAAAATGTTTACGAAATTTAAAAAAAAAAATTTTTTGACCCCTTTTTTTCAAAATCAACCCTTATTTTTCGATTTTCACCCCTTCGGGAATTTTTTTTTTTTATTTTCATTGGAAAGCTGAGGTTTTTTCCCATGAGCTATGTAAATACGAAAGTGGGACAACAATAATTTTGTAAGAAACATAATATTAAATTAGGCGGTGCCTACTTAAATCCTCAAAGATGATCTCCAGGTATACCCCTTATCGGCACCGCCTACTTTAATATTCTGTTTCTCACAAAATTATTGTTGTCCCATTTTCATATTTACATAGCTCATCGGAAAAAACCTCAGCTTTCCAATGAAAATAAAAAAAAAAAAAAAAATACCCGAAGGGGTGAAAATCGAAAAATAAGGGTTGATTTTGAAAAAAAGGGGTCAAAAAATTTTTTTTTTAAATTTCGTATACATTTTTGAAAAGTACGTGAAAAATGCATTAAAATTCATTATTGATAATTTAAAATCCTTAAACTTTTGTCATAGTTATACGGATTTGAAAATGACAATGTTACCCTTAACGTCAAAACTTCAACCCCCTCTACTTTCTACAAATATTTTTTTAATGAGTTTATATTTTAGGGATTTATTACTATCATATAGGAGAACAATTTACCAAAGTATGAAGCCAATCCCAGAACATTGACTTTTTGGGCTGGGGCGATTGAAAAAGAATCTCTCATATACATGTGGAGGAAGAGTGGAAATCTCTGTTAAAAAATTAAGTCCCAAATACACGTGTATCTCCACGTAGAGAGTCTGGCAAAATATCTTTAAAAGTAATAATGCCCCTATACACGTGTATATCCACGTGTATATCCATGTCCAAATCGATACGTGTAAAAACACGTGTAAATACACGTGTATTTACACGTGTAATTACACGTGTAAATTTTCAATAGGGTATGCATTGGATAGAAAATTACATTTATTAGTTATAAATTTTCACCTTCAAATATATTGAGCGGTAATATCTAGGTATTAATATTAAATATCAATCTTTCTCCGTAAAATACTAATACACTCAATGAATTTCGCTCTGTGAATTCTTAGAAGCGTCACTCATTTAAATAATAAATTTTAGAACAAATACGTAATAATAAAAGTTAAACTTATAACTTATTAATATAAGTTTAACTTTCAGAAATTTTATCGACAACGTGCATAACACCTCTTCAACAATCAGGAGAGTGTGTTCAGATAAGAAATTGTCCAAGTCTCTTAAATATTTTACGAACCAAAGGAGAAGCTGCTGGAGATTTCTTACGTAGATCCGTATGTCAATACGAAGGAAAAAATCCTATAGTATGTTGCCCTGCAAAATTTAACGACAATAATAATAATGGAAACATAAATCCTGATACTAATAAGGAAACACAGCATCTTTTTGACAAATATAATTCTTTACATCCTCCACAATGTGGTTTCAGTAATATCAGTTACTCAAGAGTAGTTGGAGGAGTTCCTGCAGAAGTAGGTAAATATAACAATAAGTATTTAACCAAAAAGCAATTAAGGGGTTGCCTAATCGCTTCAATGAAAGCAAAAAGAGACATTTTTCGGTACAGGTTTCTCAAAAACTATTTAACTTATCGTTTCGGGTCTTGTTGCATTCAATTACAGATATGGTCAAGAATTCAATCAAATATTTACAAAACTTCAGGGTAACAGAAAATGTTTTTATAAGTGCTCTTCTGTAAAATAAGATTTTTTTGAACTTTCGGTACATGTCTCTTTTAAACCAATGAACCGATTTCAAAAATTTTTGTTTTTTTAGTAAGGTTTCAAAATACTAAACAAATAGTTTGACATGATTCTGATTTGTTTTGAAAAATAAATACATATAAACATGAGAAAAAGTCGCAGTAATTTTTTTTATCAGTGGGTTTAATAAGGTTAATATGGTTTCTTTTTGCATTGATTTAAGGTGATTAGGCATCCTCTTAAATTTGCAAGTTTAATTAAAAATGTATGTTTTACCTTTTTTCATCCCCGTTAAGAAACAACGAATGTACAAATATTGCAAATTTACAAAATTGTTTACAAATATTAAACAAAAGTTGATAGTTTTTAATTCTTCTGAATACACGAATTTACATTTTTACCCGATTCCCCACTGAACATTAAGATACGAAAAAAAATAGATTCTATTCTCAGTAGGGATAAAGTAAATAGAAAATAATCAGACATCTTATATTCCACAATGCACAAGTTTTAGTTAAATAAAATTCAATTTAAATGAAATTTAAAACAAATTGGAGAAAATAGAAAAAATATATCATTCGCAGTCGCATTCATTTATTGACGTTTATTTGACATACTTGCGTTAACGCATTGTAGTTACCTTGTACAGTATGCCTATTCAACAAAATGTTGTAGTCGTTACAATAAATTTTTATCAATGCCCAGACAGCATAAAAACTTGCAACACCCTTGCAGCAACGCGTTTTGAACGGAATAGCGTTGAAACACCGTTGGGAACACAACGGTCACTAAAAATGTTATTTAAACAATAAAATATAATAAAGTATTTATTGGTATTTGTAGAAAAAGTGTTCACGAGTAATTTAAGAGCATTTGAACCTTCGTGACGTCACAAATCATGGCGCATGGCACGCAAACTTCTCAGGTATGTGAAAAGCACAATTTTGAATATTTTTTAAAAAAACCTTTTGGAAAATGTTCAGAATAACATAGACTCTGTCTGTTATGTGCGGAAAATTCAAAATTTTGCGTTTAAAACGTTTTTTAAACAATGTTAAGGTCACAAATCATGGCGCATGACACGCAAACTTCTCAGGTATGTGAAAAACACAATTTTGAATATTTTTTAAAAAAACCTTTTGGAAAATGTTCAGAGAAACATAGACTATGTCTGTTATGTGCGAAAAATTCAAAATTTTGCGTTTAAAACGTTTTTTAAACAATGCCTACATATAAGCAATTCGCGTATTTTTCCTTAGTTGTGACAACCAACTTAAACGTTGTTTAAAAAACGTTTTATACGCAAAATTTTGAATTTTTCGCACATAACAGACATAGTCTATGTTATTCTGAACATTTTCCAAAAGGTTTTTTTAAAAAATATTCAAAATTGTGCTTTTCACATACCTGAGAAGTTTGCGTGTCATGCGCCATGATTTGTGACGTCACGAAGGTTCAAATGCTCTTAAGACCTTATTTGTATCAATTTAATAGAAAATAAGTGAAATAAAAGATCAAATATGGAGCACTGTTATATTAGGGTATTCTGTCAAATTTTTATATAATTCAATGAAAAGTATGTTAGATATGATTTTTTAATAAAAAAAACAGTGAAAAAGTATTAATTTATTATTTCAAAGCATTTGAAAGGGTAATAAATAGTAAAAATTAAACACTAATCGAATTCTCTAAAAGCTCGTTACTCGGGGTTTTTTTCCGGTCACTGATTACGAAACTGATATTAGATTCTCAAAATTCAAAATATCGGGTTCGTTACCTAGGGGTTTTTGGTGTCGCTGATTCCGAATCTAATATTATATTCTCAAAATTCAAAATTGCAGATCAAAAAAATTAAATATTAATCGAATTCTCTAAAAGCTCGTCACTGGGTGTCTTTTTCCGGTTCCTGTTAACGAAACTGATATTAGATTCTTAAAATTCAAAATAGCGAATCAAAAAAATTGAATATTAATTGAATTCTCTGAAAGTTCGTTACTTGGGGGTTTTTAGGGTCGCCGATTACGAATCTGATATTAGATTCTCAAAATTCAAAATGGCGGATCAAAACAATTAAACAATAATCGAATTCTCTCAAAGCTCGTTACTTGGCGTGTTTTTTTTGGTCACTGATTACGAATCTGATACTAGATTTTCAAAATTCAAAATGTCGGGTTAATAAAATTAAACACTAATCGAATTCTCTGAAAGTTCGTTACTTGGAGGTTTTTAGGGTCGCTGATTACGAATCTGATATTAGATTCTCAAAATTCAAAATGGCGGATAAATACAATTAAACAATAATCAAATTCTCTCAAAGTTCGTTACTTGTGGTGTTTTTTTGTCACTGATTCCGAATCTGATATTAAATTCTCAAAATTCAAAATTGTGGATCAAAAAAATTAAATATTAGTCGAATTCTCTGAAAGCTCATTACTCAGGGTGTTTTTGCGGTCACTGATTACGAATCTGATACTAGAATTGCAAAATTCAAAATGGCCGATCAAAAAAATTAAACACTAAACGAATTTTCTGAAACCTCGTTACTTGGAGTATTTTTCCGGTCACTGATTAGGAATCTGATATTAGATTTTCAAAATTCAAAATGTCGGGTTAATAAAATTAAACACTAATCGAATTCTCTGAAAGTTCGTTACTTGGAGGTTTTTAGGGTCGCTGATTACGAATCTGATATTAGATTCTCAAAATTCAAAATGGCGGATAAAAACAATTAAACAATAATCGAATTCTCTCAAAGCAATTAAAGTAAGACACTTCAAGCATCGCTTACCAACAGTCTTTAACAATTTAGAAGATTTTTTTTCTTTATTTACTGCATTTAAATTTCCTTGTTTTGATCTAATTTCATTACACAAAGTACACTCACATTCTTTACCTGACTCTGATCCACGGGTTTTTATTTTAAAATGATACTTTGAGTAGTCCGGCATTTGAATTGAGCTTTTCAAACTTACATTTGAATTAGCCCTCAAAATTTTGTGCCTACAAGCACAACAAACAACAGCAGGTAACCGTAAATCCTTTTCATTAAAATCAGGAAATAGCACTTTGATTTCAGATTCTATTTTACCTGTAGTTTTAAAATACTAATTTTTCGGTTTCTTTTTGCATATCAAGCACATATTGTGACGATTCTGTTCATGGGTTCTGGCAGATTTACCTTGAAACTCCATCTTTAATGATTGCTATTGCAAAATGAAGATATGATATAATAGGTTAAATAAACATTTTTAAAGGAAGGTAATAGTTGATATTCCGCTAATTATACTTACACAGCCTTTGAATAATTTTTTATAATCGATTTATGTGTGTTAAATACATTATTTTTTCATTAAGTATTTTGATGTAAAAAAACTATACGTCGTTTCACAAACTAGAATGGTTAATCAAGATTATTTTACAATGACAGATGTATTCTCAAAACTGTAAAAAGCACCGACTTCAGAGTAAACAACTATTTGATCACTACTATAATATATATATTTATATGTAGAATTAAAATATAATTAATAATTCTATGATTTATTATAGTTTTTATACATTAAATAAATTTTGGTTCCTCATAAAACACTATTTTTGCAATTAAACTAATTTTTTTTAAATCCGGCACGTAAACTGATTTTAAAACCTATTAAAACATGTTTTTTATAAATCGAATTATCATAATCAACAAGAATTTTTGAGTGCCATTTAACTTTTATTTAAACCCCCTTCGGGCGCACCATGGATCATTAGGCCCACTCCAAAACTTATTGCAAAATTTTATTCTTATTTTCATGTGTGTAAAAATAAAAAAAAATCACGCCTAAATTTAAAAAAATTTAATTTGTTTATGAAAAATCGCTGTTTTTTATAAACAAATTCAAATTTTTTTTTGTTAAGTTATTTTGAAAGTCGATAAAAAACTGAAACTTTTTTGTATGTTGGTCATAATTCCTAAATTCAATACTTTTAGAGTTACATGTCATTGAAATTAGGTGTATTTCAAAAAAACTTGAAAAAATCAGATTTTTAAAAATTCATAACTCGTAAATTTGAGCACTTATAAAGAAATAAAAAAAAATACGTAAACCTTTTTTTTCTACAAAGAATAAGAAAAAAATATATTTAGATGAATTTAAGGCCAGGTCCAAGTGAGGCAGCGCCATCTACATTGATACTAAAATTTTGGAAAATTTTCAACAGTCTTTTCTTGAAAACAAGATGGTAAAATGCTTTTTCCTTTATAGATAATTGATTATTGACAAGATATACACCAGCTAAAACTTTTTTTGAGTTAAAATAATAAAAAAAAATTCATGTCAATAAATTAAATATGAGCACTTTTTTCACAAAAACTGTAACAGTACTTTCTCAGAAATTACAATCAAAAATGCAATTTCCATTAGGAAAATTAATAAACGCTAAAAAATACACGACCTAAGATTTACCAATCAAGAAAATAAGAAAAAAAAATTTAATAAATATTTAACATATTGATACTGATTTACTGATTGTGACAGCCCTTTGGTAGATTATGTATTTCAGGTGGTTACCAACAGCGCCAATCTCCTCCTTTCGGCAAAACTGCGAAACGTCTGGTGACATATATAACCTGCCAAACGGCTGTCATAATGAGTAAAATATGTTATGTTAAAATACTTTTTTTTTTGTTATTTTCGTGATTGGTAAATCTTAGGTGGTGTATTTTTTAGCGTTTATTAATTTTCCAAATGGAAATTGCATTTTTGATTGTAATTTCTGAGAAAGTACTGTTACAGTTTTTGTGAAAAAAGTGCTCATATTTAATTTATTGACATGAAATTTTTTTTATTATTTTAACTCAAAAAAAGTTTTAGCTGGTGTATATCTTGCCAATAATCAATTATCTATAAAGGAAAAAGCATTTTACCATCTTGTTTTCAAGAAAAGGCTGTTAAAAATTTTCCAAAATTTTAGTTTCAATGTAGATGGCGCTGCCTCACTTGGACCTGGCCTTAAAAGGTCATAAGTAAATCTCACGTGGAATCGCCCATATATATTTGTGACTTCGAAAAATCATAAAACATTATAGAAAATAATTATTAGCATGGTTGCTAAATTTTTCATTAGAACATTTTATAAAACTTCTAAGAAAACATTTTCAACATTTTTTGAATTATTTTTTTTCAATATTAAAAACATCACAAAACTTCGAAACTTTGGTAATTTTTAAATTCAATTTTAATGACATTTTAAAAACCTCATTAACATCACAGGAAAATTTCAGCCTCATAGGAACCTTGTAGAACACATTGACAACTGTAAGTGCTTTTTTTTATTTGACCCCTTAAGAACCTACAAGTAACACTACCCAAGTGCCAATCGCCGATTGACTTGAGTCTTTGCGCATTTTTTAGAGGAGCTAAAAATATTTGATACGTACATTTTTATATCGGCAATGAAGATGTTTTAAGGGTGGAAAACAGGGGTTGAAAAGTCATATTTTGAGTGGCAAAATATACATATCATGATCATTAAAGAAAGTTTAATTAAAATCATTATTTCATTATTTAAAAAATGTTTGACACTTCTTTCTTGATTTCCTAAAAGATACTGCTCGGTAGAAATTACCGTTATAAACCTTTTTGAATGGGGTGAGTGAAACCTTTAACCCTTTAAGAACCAAATATACAAAATTTTTGCATGATTTCACAACCAATTTTTCAAAGTGATTTGAATCGCTTGAAACTTGTTACTCGGGGGTTTTCGGGGTCGCTGATTACGAATTCGATGTCAGTTTTTCAAAATTCAAAATGGCGGATCCAATATGGCGGAAGACATTTTGAAAATCAACTGCAATTTGATTGAAACTTGTTACTCGGGGGTTTTCGGGGTCGCTGATTACGAATTCGATGTCAGTTTTTCAAAATTCAAAATGGCGGATACAATATGGCGGAAGACATATTGAAAATCAACTGCAATTTGATTGGAACTTGTTACTCGGGGGTTTTCGGGGTTGCTGATTACGAATTCGATGTCAGTTTTTCAAAATTCAAAATGGCGGATCCAATATGGCGGAAGACATATTGAAAATCAACTGCAATTTGATTGAAACTTGTTACTCGGGGGTTTTCGGGGTTGCTGATTACGAATTCGATGTCAGTTTTTCAAAATTCAAAATGGCGGATCCAATATGGCGGAAGACATATTGAAAATCAACTGCAATTTGATTGAAACTTGTTACTCGGGGGTTTTCGGGGTTGCTGATTACGAATTCGATGTCAGTTTTTCAAAATTCAAAATGGCGGATCCAATATGGCGGAAGACATTTTGAAAATCAACTGCAATTTGATTGAAACTTGTTACTCGGGGGTTTTCGGGGTCGCTGATTACGAATTCGATGTCAGTTTTTCAAAATTCAAAAATGGCGGATCCAATATGGCGGTAGACATTTTGAAAATCAACTGCAATTTGATTGAAACTTGTTACTCGGGGGTTTTCGGGGTCGCTGATTATGAATTCGATTAAAAATTGGAAAATTGAAAATGTCGGATTTAATATGGTGGGCGAAAAATTGGGAAAGGGGTGATTAAAATTTCGTAACGAAACTCATGTAGAATAGATAAAAAATAAATTATCTGTGAATTTTTAAGGTTCCTAATTAGGATTCTAAAACCAATTTTCAAAAAAAACTGACATCGAATTCGTAATCAGCAACCCCGAAAACCCCCGAGTAACAAGTTTCAATCAAATTGCAGTTGATTTTCAAAATGTCTTCCGCCATATTAGATCCGCCATTTTGAATTTTGAGAAACTGACATCGAATTCGTAATCAGCGACCCCGAAAACCCCCGAGTAACAAGTTTCAAGCGATTCAAATCACTTTGAAAAATTGGTTGTGAAATCATGCAAAAATTTTGTATATTTGGTTATTAAAGGGTTAAAGGTTTTACTCACCCCATTCAAAAAGGTTTATAACGGTAATTTCTACCGAGCAGTATCTTTTAGGAAATCAAGAAAGAAGTGTCAAACATTTTTTAAATAATGAAATAATGATTTTAATTAAACTTTCTTTAATGATCATGATATGTATATTTTGCCACTCAAAATATGACTTTTCAACCCCTGTTTTCAACCCTTACAACATCTTCATTGCCGATATAAAAATGTACGTATCAAATATTTTTAGCTCCTCTAAAAAATGCGCAAAGACTCAAGTCAATCGGCGATTGGCACTTGGGTAGTGTTACTTGCTAGTTGAACCTTGTTAATTTCTCATTGAAACAAAAACCAATTAAAAAGATACTAGAACCTACTTCACAGTCAATTGTGTTTCTACTTTTTTAATGACTTTAATGAGGCTTTTTACCAGGGCAGAAACCTTTGAGTAACAAGTTTCAAGCGAAGTTGATTGAGTTTTAACTTTCAGTCCACCATATTTTATCCGCCAATTTGAATTTTGAAAATCTAATGCCACATTCGTAATCAGCGACCCCAAAAACTTCCAAATAACGATTTTGGAGCGAATCCGTTAAAATTTTAATATTTCGAACGTCGCATATTGGATTCGCTATTTCGAATTTTTAAAAACCAACAGAAAATTTGTAATCAGCGACCTCAAAAATCCATAAGTGACGATTTTCAATCGGATCTGATCAATTTTTAAAAATAATGTCTGCCATATTGGATCCGCCATTTTGAATTTTTAAAAACCATTAACGGAGTCGTAATCAGCGACCTTGAGAACCCCCAAGTGATGATTTTCAGGCGAATTTTTTAACTTTTTCGACTTTTGGCCAAAAATCGGTGTTTCTGGCCCACTGTGCGTTTTAAAGACACCCAAAGTATGTTCTATGTCTTCTCCAGGACCGTTTCTAGAACGATTTGAGAATGTTCAGATGATGAAAACTATGATTTAAGGAAGTGTCTCGCCACTACCGACGTTCTTTTGTGTCGGTAGTCGCGGGACATTACTATAAATCGTTAATTAATCGTTCTTTTAAAGACCTGTGGTATCTATAAATTAAATTTAGATATATTTTATATAGAAATACTATATTTATCGCTGATTAAGAATTTTGAAAATTACGAAATTGAAGAATTCGACTTTATCAGCAAAGTGACATCTATTAGATGTCATTAAAACTCCTTGGTTCAGAGTTAGGTGTTTCATGTGATAATTATATCGATATGATTTGTCGACAAATAATTATCAATTTTTGAATTAATTTTGATCTGAAAAAATAAGCTGCGTGCTCGAGTACACTGTGCATCTGTGAGGACTCGAACCTCCTTAGTTGCTGCCTAACGCGGGACTTCTGCCGACTAATGCACCATGCCAACACAGCCTGAACGACCAAGCCTCTTATATTCTCAGATCAAGCCCATAACTAGTCAAGAGCTATAAATTAAATTTGTAATAAAAAGTCCTACCTGTCCGCCGATAAAGATACAGAGATGATATTCTTAAAAATATGATTCCTACACAAAAAAAACAAAGCGTGTACCGCGATTACCGACTCTTCCCTATTATTTTATTTTTATTATTTTCAGGTGATTGGCCATGGATAGCTGCTCTTGGATATCAGTTTAAAAAATCTAGTGAAAATATTAAATGGCTTTGTGGTGGTTCTTTAGTTTCTTCAAAACACGTTTTAACTGCAGGACATTGTGTCTATAATCGTCCAGATTTAATATTAGTGCGCTTGGGAGACTTAGATTTATTCTCAAATACTGACAACGTTCAACCACTTGATGTTCTTATTGAAAAATATATTTTACATCCTGAATACAGTGCAACTACCTATACAAATGACATTGCTATTTTAAAATTAAAGGATAATATACCCTTCTCAGGTAAGAATACATAGTGCAATGGTTTAAAATATACCATAAAATACACTATCTGTAAAGATTTAGAAATAAATTATACCATTCACTTTGAATAATAGTGAACTTAAAAAAAATATCACGCACTACTTAACTGATAAGCAAACATCATAAATTTTACATTTTTATAATTTATTAATTATAACTTATTTTATAACAAATATTGTGAAAATATATTATGAATGAATAATTCCACTGTTCATTCTAATAGTTTATTTAAACCATTTTTATCGATTTAATACAATATATTGGCGCGCCACGAAATTGACACAAATTCTTTGCATATTCGTTTCATGACATTAGCCAATTCAAACAGTAATGTAAAATAATATTGTTCTGTAACAATAATTTGAAACTGTTACAAATATTACATTTCTGTACGTAACAAAGATTGTACAAATAATAAAATTCTTATTATTCACAATCAATACTAACGTCTTACATCGGTCTTCAAGAAAAAAGATATGCAACTGAAATGGATAAAAAATTCGTTTGACTAAGAAGATTTTGTTGTGCAAACATGTAGCAAATTTGGTGCAAGCAACAAAATGTCCTCTTGTGGCAAGGTATTTAAGCAAGCTTGCAGCAAACTTGCAAAAAACTTGCTATAAGCTTGTATAATACTTGTTGGAAATATAGCGAATAATATGAGCCTAAATATTTCTCCCTGAATGAATCATCCTCAATGTCATATTTCCCTAAACACATTAATATAGTCAGTCGTCTCTTGACCACACAAGAGGTCTGTCGCGTGAATTGTATCTACCACTTATAGTAATAGAATTAAAGTTACTTTTGTTAATAGAAATAAACTCCTTTTTTATTTCACCAAATCCCAACAATACTAAAAAAAATATTTCGAAACAATTTGCTACCAAATAAACATAAAGGGCACCTTGCTTTAGAGGTTAAGAAATTTATTGCGCAGCCGTAAGAGCTTCCGTTTACAACTGCGCATCGTATTAAGTTTTGCAAACTTACAGCAAGCTTGCCACAAGAGGACATTTTGTTGCTTGCACCAAATTTGCTACATGTTTTCACTCGAATCTTGCACATCTTCCAAGGCAAGCTTCTTGCAAGTTTGCTACAAGTTTTCGTGTTGATTGGGATAATACAAAAACTTTATATCCAAACGGATTTTAGACCTATTTTAGTCGAATTTCTTTTTGTTTTAGACCGGTGAGATGTAATTGTAGGACTTAATAAGCTTGTAAGTACTGAATCAAATTCTAAGTGTTTTATTTTATGAATTAATGAATAGAAAATTTAAGAATATAACTTTTATTTTTCAGCTTTAATTCATCCAATATGTCTTCCATTAGCAGACGACATTCGAAAGCGAGATTTTGCCCGCACCTTTCCTTTTATTGCAGGATGGGGCTCTATTTATTTTAGTAAGTATATAATATTATTTTCAATTCAGGAAACTAAAAATTCCTATACATAATCCTAAAAGTATCCCTAGAGGTTCCTACATAGGTTCCTTAAAGATTCTCTGCTGGATCCTGTTAAGAATCCTACGCGCGATCCCACTAGGATTCGTTGTAGGATATTGGTACAGGGATCCTGTACAAAATCCTGTGTAGGGACATTAGTTTCTAAGGTTCCTTTACAGATTACAGAAAATGTATAAAAATAATTTCATGCTAAGGTTCCTACACAGGAACACTCGCTTGATCCTGTAAAGAAAAATATTTCACTTTCTTTTCATGCTAAGGAACATTTGTAGGAACCATTAAAGGATCCCAAGTAGGATTCAAGGAGGATTTTTTTAAATACAATAAAAAAATTTTAATCTTGTGATTAATGCATATTGATGCACTTATTTAAAAAAAATTCTTTGCGCAGATGTTCGAACCATAAAAACTTACTGCGCAGCAAGTAAAGTTGTTAACATTCAGAAACAAAGGTTCCTGCATGGTATCCTGTGAAGGTTCATGTACAGGAATTTTTATTTAAAAATTTATTTTAAACTTTTATGGAGCATTTACTCCTTTGATAAAAAAAAATTTTTTACTTTGATTTTCCGAAATGCAAAAATCTGATTGGTTGTCCATTATCAATCAGATTGTGAACAACCAATCAGGTTTGTGTATTTCGGAAAATGACAAATAAAAACAAATTACCAAACGTGTAAATGCTCCATCAGACAAAGGAACCTGCAAAGGAACCTTAGGTAACTAATTCTCCTGCACAGATTCTTCTACAGGATCCCTGTTCCAATATCCTGCGTAGGATTCTTAACAGCATCCCTCAGGGAACCTTTAAAGATCCTACACGGAGAAAAAAAGAGTAATAATTGTAACATTTTCTATTAAAAATTACTACTTTCAAATAGTAATTTGGGAACTGCTCAAGAAATAATAACATTTATTAAAAGCTGAGTAATATTTAAAATGTCCCGAGAAATTAATACTAGGAGGGAAGCAACTTTTATTATGAATCGGAGCAGTTATTACTATTTCCTTAAGATTTTTACTAGAAAAAGTATTAATCCGTACCACTTCAACGACGCGCCTCACACCGACGGGAGGAGGGAATGCCGACGCGTGTGCAGCTGCGCGCCTGCACGTTTGTCACTAAAAACGTTTATAAAAAGAACTATATATTTTCTTGATTTATTTTAATAAATTAAAAATATCATTATGCAACATAATCTTTAAGATCTCAATTTTATTTTTCATTTTTGAAACTTAAAAAATGTTTTATGGTTCCTAAAATATGTTAAAAAAGGTCCGAGCACGTTAATCGTACCGACAATTTCCGACGGTACCCAAATAGCACGGAAACTTGCAGCAAGTTTGCAGTGCAAAGTTTGAAAGGTAAGTTTGCAGCAAACTTGTGGCAAATATTGAAATGTCCTCCCTTGGCAAGTTTGCAGCAGAAACTTTCTGCAAACATGCTAAGCAAAATTGTCGAAAAGTTTCAAGAACAATTTGTAGCAAAATTGCGCTGAAAATTTTTAAAAGTTTAAAATGCAAATTAAATTTCACGAAAAAAAATATCGTCGAATGTCAATTCAAGCAGTCACCCATCCAAGTACTAACCGCGTCCAACGTTGCTTAACTTCCGTGATCTGATGAGAACTTGTTCCTTCGCCTTGGTGTTTCCGCTGTCTTGTCTTGATTAATAACTTTGTCGTATAAGTATTGTAACCGATTCTCAATAATTAAAAGAATTATATGCTTGGATAAGAGATGTATATGACATGAAATATTTTTTTGGGGGGTTTCATAGACAAGCTCACATTCATTCCCACGAGAAATTTCTCGTGGGAATGAATGCTGATAGGATGTTTGTGCACCAGCCATCATCCATCTTGGCTTTCCCCCACCCAACTTGAATAACCTTATAGAATTAGAATAGTTAATAATAATCTAAATAAATGGCGGGAAAATTTGAATATTTAAATAAATAAAATAATATTAGGTTAATGAAGATTTTTAACTCAAATTAAACTGGAATATTACAGAAACACTTCATCAGCAATTGCAACATTTTCTAATAAAAGAATAGAAAAATTTGGAAGTAATCGATTTAAGAGATAAAACAAAATGCGTAAAAAGAAGAAATAACAAGCTAAAAAATTATGAAATAAAACGTAAAATGACAGTTGATTTGACAAAAAATAGGGAGAAAATCTATTTTTAAAAATAGATTTAGAGAAAATGCGAATATTAATGGCGTAAAAAAGTGTAGATGTTTACCATAAAAAACGAGAGAAATTACACGACAAATGCATTGATTTTCGCGTAAACACGTCTCATGATTGGTGAGGACGGAACTGAAAGGGTAAAAAGTAAGAATGTCATTAGAAAATAGAATAGAAGAAAGGGAAAAAGGGACTTTTGACATAAGTGGGAAATGTCTTTATAAGCAAAAATCAAGAGGTAGGGACCAGATTTTTGGCGAGATATTAAATTCAATTTGCGTAATTGATCTCTATAGAATTTTCTTAAAATTGTGAAAGTGGGACTTAGAGTAATTCGAGAAATAAAACTATAATTATTTTTCGAGTAAAACCTTAAATAAAAAGGGTAATGTGAAAGGGACACTAAACACTAAAAATTCAATCAATAAAACAAATAAAATTATTGAAATGTTGAGTTGATAAAATTAATTAATCATAATTAATATTGTTAATTATCGAGACTCAATTATTCAATTTAACTTGAATAAATATTAATATATATATATATTGACAGTGTTTTATTGAATTAATTAACCTTTAATAAATAAGTGAAATAAATAATAAAATTAAAAACAAGTAAATCCTTTCTAGCACGCTTGCTTAGGCTTGCCCATAGGCGCTTCCGTAGCATTCGCATCATACATTCCGCCAGGGATACTTTGACGCCGGGCTACGAATACGCCCCCCTCCTCTTATATTTTAATGTTAAATATAATATAAAAAATTAATTGTGTCTAATAAAATTTAGGGTACACTGAAAAAACAAAAAAAAATTGTATGTATTGCTTCCTCATGGAGGTAGCCTTGTAACACCGACATTTTTCGAACTTGATTTTTTATGTATCTTTATGTTTTTCGACCACAGGTATCCAAAAGTTCCTTTTTTAAAAAATGTCGTTCCGTGTGTGTGTGTGTGTGTGGGTGTATATATACACTACATTTTCTTAAATATCTCGAATACTGTAAGATCTAAAGGGATAATTTTTTTTTTAAATTTTAGGTCTGACTGGCGGACAAATAATAAGAGTACTTTGCGAAATATTAATGATTAACTATTATTTATTTTCATTTTAAAATTTTTGAAAAATGGGTTTTTGCCCATAACTTTAAAAAAAATGTTAGGACACCTATGAATATTTTTCTTTAATTTTGTAGAGTTTTTTAAGACGCATCTTTTGAGATGTTAGCGAACATTCTACTGATATTCAATCCAAAGTTATTGAATTTTTAATAATTAAAGAAAAACGTTTTTTGCCTATAACTTAAAAAAATGTTTTGATACCAACAGATATTTATCTCTGGTTTTGTAGAGATTTTCAAGACGTATCTTTTGACCTATTAGCGAATATCCTACTGTTATTTTGTCCAGAGTTATTAACATTTTGAAATTGAAAATTTTTGAAAAACCTGTTTTTTTGCCTTATTTATTAAAAAATATATATTTATGCATCTTTAAAAGTATTATGAACAACTTGGAGCATATTTAAAAACAAATCAGTTGACCTATTATTGAACCTTTTATTGTGAAATATTACGAAGTTATTGATGTTAAAATTCTATCTCTGCAAATACCCAAAAAATACAACTTAACATCTTCTTAAAATTATTATAATACCAAATAAATTACCATAATTTGGCAGCGTTATTTACTTATCTGAAAGCTTTTGACGAACACAGTTTTGCTCATGATAAAACGATGCAATTGCAGGCTGCAAATAAGTAGCAGCATTATTCTAAAATAAATAGGCTTATCAAATTGACAATATGTAATTAACAATAAGTATTTTTCAAGCAAAAATGTAATTAAATTTAATTCACCTCTGATGAGTCCCCACACGCCATTTGTCATCATTCTCGTCAACTACCGCATCTTGCTCTAGTGATAATTTAGTGACTTTATTGTTATAATTAAAAGGTAGATACTATAAAGTTACTAAATGTTCACTAGAGCAGCGTGCCGCAGTTGACGAGAATTATGACAAATAGCCAATCGGTAAGAAAAATTAGAAAAGCTGTTAAAAAAATGTAAAAAAAATTTTTGCATCATGAAAATTTTGGCGCCCCGGTCTGTTGCCCGGCCGTTTGACCGCTCCTGTACGGATTACTACTTTTTCTAGTAAAAAGTTTGATCTGGAATAGTAAAAGTTCTTTCTTGCAGAAGCAATTTTTATAATTCGCAGTATTACTTATTAGAATTTTTACGCCCTGGCGGAATAAAATCACTCAACGTCCACTTTGTAAAGTAGACATTGAGTGGACATTGGGTAGAAACTTGGTAATTCGAAAAAATAAATGTTAAAATGACAAAATATGAAAAAATTTGAATTGCAAAAGGTAAATAAATATCCAGAGACTCAATTCTAGTAATAATTGCGTTAAATAAAGCATTAAATATTAAAAAATTAATATAAATTGTGCAAAGTAACTTGTCGCATGGTTACATTCTATTGGTTTTTTTAATATTTCCAATAAATTAATGTAAAATGACGTAGAATTTTACACGTAATTTTAAAAAATGGTTAAATTCATCAAATTGATGTATTTTTGAGGTTAATTAATTAATAAAAATAAAAATTATATTTAATCTCAATAGTGTTGTGAAATACTATAGAAATTGTATTACCGACCACATGTGATAATAAAAAGTTCGATTTCACGGTAAGTAAAGTTATAGTTATGCATAAATACGTGGTTAAATTACTC